AAGAGATCTGGGTAGAAGAGCCACGGAAAGAGCTGGAGGGCGAGTGCCAAGTTGTCGAGCGTCGCGTTGGCGGTGGCCATCTGCTTGTCGATGTGATCAAAGTCGGTGGCGCGTGGGCCAAAGCGCTGGAGCATCTCGACGCCGCTCGAGTTTGTGTGTTCCAAAATGCTGGACAAAAATGTCGTCGAAATGTTCCGGTTGCGCAACACGGTGCCGTCTACTAGCAGCACAGTAGAAAGCCGCCGTCAATAGCCTTCTCGTACAACAAAGCGAAGCCATGTACCTTGCACGAGGTTGTTGCCCTGACGGAGCTCTGGTACGGTCTCCCGCTTCTCGAGCAGAAGCTCGACGATCTCGGGGCGACAGCTCTGCAACGCCAAAATAATGGCGTCTTCCGAGGCAAGGTCTGGACGACATTCAAGCATGCGCTCGGTCAGCAAAGCAAGGTTTTCGTAGATGGCCACATGCAGAGGCAAGCGGTCGTCGTATCCATTGCCGCCGAGACAATACTCTTCGGGTATGAGCGTCAAGCGCCCATCCCAAACGGTGTGTGGCGCGAACGCCTCGGGGAAGGCCACGTCGCACTCGTAGAAAAGACGGCTGAACTCGACGAGCTCGTCGCAGGCGCGGAAGGCTTGGCGCACGTCTGCATAGAGACCACACTGGAACGCAAAGACCAGCGATGCAATCGCGGGCTGGTCGAGGACGGCGCGGCGGAAGGTCTCTGCCATCGTACAACCCGTTGCCAATAAAAAGTTTCGAGTCCAATATCCATCCACAAGTGCAAAAATATATCCGAAACATATGCAACGACTCGACGACCGGTGAGCTCGCTACAGCTGACAGAGTTAGATGGTAGGGAGGCACGAATGACGTGCTCGAATTACACCACTGGAAAACCGAATCACACATTGCAACCTACTCCTATAGGATGTATCGAGTGGACTAGGATCGTCGGCAGATCCTGCATGTCGGTCGCTTGTGGCTGGGATTCTCTTGAGAGACGTGCAGGATCGTGCGAGATGCCATCTGTTTTATGACGTTGCAGGTACCGATAGCGTCAACGAGACCACGATTTCATTGAACACCGACACTCTTATCATCGCACATCATCGCATGGGCACCGTGTCGTAGGACTTGGCGCAAAACTCCTTGTCCAGAGACCTCGCACTCGAGCGGTCCAACGTCGCCGTGGCCTCGGACGCTCGAGCGACTGCATAGCCCATTGCTACTAAAACACACTCAACGAGCAATACGTCACGTGACCCAAATCGTTTCTTCTTTAGACCAGAAGGCCCACGTCAACGGAGCTCTCTTGTGCCACTGTCGTGACCTCGGCTTGAAGTTGGCGACCTTCGTGCCGAAGTCGGCCGAAGCCGATCCCCGGCCGAGCTGGTCCGCCACCACATCGAGCGCCGCCACAAGCCGATGGGGTTGCATCACTGCCACCAATATGCGTCCATCGACGCTATCTCCCTTCTAGATTTGCCATCGGCCGACGCATCCTCCGGCAACAAGGAATGCCGCCGAAGGTTGTCTCGTGCGGCTATCTGTCGTAACTCACAAAAACAGCTTGGCCATAGTGATTCCGCCGCAACCTCGGAGCAAACACCGTTCATCTCACACTCCAACTTGCACCATGTCCATGCAGCACGGCGTCCTCTGCGCGCTCACAGCCTTCACGATGTGGGGGTTCTTTCCCATCTACTGGAAGCAGCTCCCGGACGTGCCCGACATGCAAGTCGCCGTGCACCGCGTGTTGTGGTCCGGCCTCATCCTCCTCGCCAGCGTGCTTCTGACGTGCCAATGGCGCGCGTACGCGGCCGTCGCCTTTACAAAGCGCAACATCGTGATTTACGGCATTGCGATCGTCCTCCTCACGGGCAACTTCTTCATCTACGTCTTTGCGACCAACTCGAACCGCATCATCGAACTCAGCCTCGGGTACTTTATCAACCCGATGGTCAACGCGGTTCTCGGTCGCGTCTTCCTCAAGGAATCGCTCTCCAAGTGGCAGTGGATCGCGCTCGGCATCGCGCTCGTCGGCGTCTTGATCCCGACAATCGCGTACGGCAAGTTCCCGTACCTCGCCATCACGCTCGCGACGACGTCGGGCTTGTACAACTTGGCCAAGAAGATGGCGCCGCTCGACTCGTTCCATGGCTTGACGCTCGAGACTAGCTTGATGCTCGTGCCGGCAGCCATCTACTTGGTTTGCGTCGACGCGCAGGGCAGCGGGGCGTTTGGCCACGTCGACACCAAAACCAATCTCCTCCTCGTGGGCACGGGCATGATTACGATCTTGCCGTTGATCCTCTTTGCCAAGGCGGCGCCGGCCATCCCGATGACACTCATGGGCATTTTGCAGTACGTTTGCCCGACGATCCAGTTTTTCATTGGCATTTTCCTCTACGACGAGCCGTTCACGACGACGAAGCTCGTTGGCTTTATCGTGATTTGGATCGCGCTCGTGGTCTTTACGACCGACAGCGTCTTGACGTACAGGCGCAGTTTGCTTGTTACCGTCACGGACGACGACGAGTGCGCGTCACCAACGTC